GAAAAATACAGAAAAAGAAAAAAAAACAATCACAGGGAAAGTTGTGCTCAGAGCTGCTGGGTGATAAGTAGAATCTGAGTGTCGGGGAAACCATCTGTGCCCTCTGTCCCCTGCAGAAAGCCAACAAAGCACAGAGCCGGGCGATTGAGCGCCTGAAAAAGAAGATGTTTGAGAATGAGTTCTTGCTGCTGCTCAATTCCCCCACAATCCCGTTTCGGATCCACAATCGGAATGGAAAGGTCAGAAAGGGTGGAACAAAGAGAGGCCCCTTCCTCGGTCCAGGACTGCCCGCTCCCTATAGCTCCTGGCCTTGACCTATGGAAATCAGGGACTCAGGCCCCCAATTTCCAAGGAGGCCACCATGGCTCCAGCCCTGGATTTCCTCTCCCCACTGGTGTGGAGCCAGTGCCCTCTGCTGGCCATCACTGTCACTGCCGTCACTGGGCTTCCTAAGAAGGAGGTCCTCCTCCCAGCTGCCTCCTTCTCCAAGCCTGGGGTGCCTGGGTAAGAAGGAGCCTTGTTGGGCCTCCAGAATCCAGGAATGTGCTTGGCCTGACTATGATCACCCTACTGAATTGTCATCTCCTCTCTTCAGAGCTACGTGTTCCTGCTGTCCTCGGACTATGAGAGGTCAGAGTGGAGAGAAGCAATTCAGAAACTACAGAAGAAGGGTAAAGTCCTGCCCCACTTTACAATGCCCTGATGGGGTTCGTAGCAACAAGAGGCCTTTTATATTTCCGAGCACTTTCATGTCCAGTATCTGCTCTTCGGCTCTCCTAGTCACTCTATAAAGTGCCGGGGCAGGTAGCACTTCAATTGATGTTACTGATCAATTGAGGCCCCAAAAATTTAAGTTGATTTCCTTAAACCGTACAATGAATTAGCAATAGGACTGGACTGAGCCCAGAGTTGTTCATCTGTCTCTGTCTCTGTCTCTCTCTCTTGCTCTCACTCTTTCATACACACATACATGGGCCTCTTCACTTACACTCTCCCAATTTACGCCCCCTGACAGCACCCACGACTATCCCCATGCTAGTGTCTACAAGTCTTTCTCTCCCTTGCAATGACCCACTCTGCCTCTAGAGCTAAGCCTTTTTTCTTGCAATAGCCCCCAAGGAAGAGCAGCAAGTCCTGGTGGACCTGTGGTGACGTTCCACTCTCTCTTGGCTCCTCCTGCAGATCTCCAGGCCTTTGTCCTGAGCTCAGTAGAGCTCCAGGTGCTTACGGGATCCTGTTTCAAACTTAGGACTGTACACAACATTCCTGTCACCAGCAATAAAGATGGTAAGATCTGGAACCCAAGGTTGCCCAATCAGCAGATCCAACCTCCCCTGCCTCCGCCCCCAGGGTACTGCTGGGGCTTTCCATAAGAACCTAGCCAGACACTTGGCTACAAATGTCTGCTCTCTGCTCAGCTGTGTTGGGATGACTCAGTTGCCAAGTATACAGAGAGCTTGAACAGGGGTTATCCATTCCCCAAATGGCCTCAACTTCCCCCTGACCCCCTATGGCTTGAAAGAAGAATCTGACACCTTGGTGGGCTGGGATTGTGTTGTTAATATGTTCACAAAGTAGTCAGATAAATAGAGGCAAGAGACTGTAGCATGGGTGGGGGGAAGGTCGATGGATTAGAATAATGTATGGGAAATAAAGCCAGAAGTTTCCAGGGAACAGATCTTAGAAGGCCTTGAATGCCAAGCAAAGAGTTTGTTGTTCAAGCAGAGGGGCCTGTGGGAGGATTTTGAGCAGGGCAGAGCTGTGTTTGGGGCTGGTAACTGGCCTAGAGTGGGTGAAATCTGGCTGTCCGTGGGTACTGGGAAGGGAATTTGAAGGCAAGCTCTCCTCCACTTACAGGGGTCACCTGCCCTCTGTGTTCCAAAGAGGAGGCAGAGCTGGACCTTCTCTTCCATTGGGACACTGACTTATATTGGTTGATTTTTCACTTTGAAAGGCTAGACCGAGGAGGGCAGCCACAGTATAGCAGGATTCAGAGGAAAAGGGAAAGTGTCCCTGGGGAATGATAGTAAATTCCTGGTGCAAAAGGGAAGATGTGAGTGGAAGGAGAAGGCGGAGTGGATGGGGAAGGGGGCACCAGCTGGGCTCTGGAAAGTTCTCCATCTGGCCAGCAGGTGGTGCTGTCAGACAAAGGCTCGGGCTGTATATGCCACCCTTTCTCCCTCCCAGCCAGTATGGGGTGAGGAGGGGATGAAGCAGAGGAACCTCTCACCAACCCCCACCCTGGGGGCTTTTCTCTCTTGTAGATGACGAGTCTCCAGGACTCTATGGCTTCCTTCATGTCATCGTCCACTCTGCCAAGGGATTTAAGCAGTCAGCCAGTAAGTGCCTCTGACTACCAGCCCTGGGAAGAAGCTGGGTGGGCCATTGTTCATCCTGTCGCACCAAGTCCCTATACACTCACTGCATGGGGCCTCCCTTTGCCCACCAGCTCTTCTCCTCTCCGGCTGGAGCCCTGCCAGCTGCCTTGAGATGTGGGACATCCCCCCAAGGGCCAGGAACCAGCTTCTCTGGGCAGGGGCAGCATCCCTGCCCTTTGTCTCCAAGTCTCCTGTTCCCCAGGCCCTCCACCACCCCAGGTGTCTGAAATCCTGGACTCAAACCCCACATCTACCAACTACAACTTATGTACCTTGGACAAGTCTCAACCTCTCCTCGCCTCAGCTTATTTCTCCAGAAAAAGCAATCACACTTGTTAATATTGACCTTTGAGCAGGGGTAAATATGACTGTGTGTGTGGTACTAGCACGTTGCCACACACATCCCATTTCCTCCCTTTATTACCACCTACTAAATCTGTGCAGTTTTTAGTGTTCACAAGATACGGTATACTTTTTATCTATTTTTTCCTCCCTTTAGGAATTTGTGAGTCATTTAGACAACTAATAGCTTTTCCCCATTTGCCAGATGAGAAAACTGAGTCACAGAGAGACAAAAGGGCTTAACATCACACAGGATTAGAAACTCAGGGCCCCTGACTCCTCTCAGCCAGCACCCTCCCACTCCCTTCTCTTCCTCGCTAGCAGGTGAAGCCTGCCCTATGCATCTTTCCTGCAGCGTACCACGCAGAGCTTATGCCACTGATGTGCAAACAGCCATTCCATAAACATTGACTGTGAAGCCTGAGTTCCTGGTATAAATTGGCCTCCCCTCTCTGTGTTCCCATCACCCTAGGGAAAACCATGGTTGCAGCACCTGTCATACTGTTTTGCCGCTTAAAGTTTGCCTTTCCCACTGTGAGTTTCTAGAGGGCAGGAACCATGTCTCCTTTATCCTTGGATGAATAGGAGCTCAGAAATGCTGGATGAAGTAGTTAATTTCCTGGTACCTTACGAGGTGCCGAAGAAAGTGCAAATGTGGCCAGTGTGTGGACAATGCCTTGGTGTGGTCAAAGGCTTTTCAGGTGTATCGTCTACTTTGATCCTTCCGGCATCCCGCTGAGGTCACTGATATCATTCCCGTTTTACACACGAAGAAGCTGAGGCCTTGAGAACTCAAGAGACTTTCCCAGGGTCGCACAGGCAGGTCACAGAGGTGGTGTAGAATCTATGTCTTCCACTACCAACGCCCACACATTTCTCTAAGTATGGCCAGGAGCATCTCACTTGCCACTCAGACTGTGCCGCTTGTACATGGGGCAGCTTCCTGGGCCCTCCCCAGAACCACAGAATCCCCTGGTGTGCACTGCCCAGTAATATTCCTGGTTAGTAAACTCCGTAGGGCTGTCTGTGGCCCACTGAGCTAGGCCAGGCACCTCCCATCTCCATGGTACCCAGATGTCTTGCCCTTCCTCTCTGTCTGCTTCATGTTGGCTGGCATGGGCCTTAGAGAGCAGGCCCATCAAAGTGGTTAGACAAGGGGTGAGCTGCTACGAAATCTCCAGACTGTCTTCACCTCTTCCCTCCCCTGGCCCCCTGACCTGCTCGAATGGTCATTCTGATTTGAGGGGGTTAGGACCTGTGAGTCTCCAGTGTGGCTTTTGGTCCTAGTGAACTCATCTACACAGTCAGGCCCAGCGTGTGGGCACCATGATTATCCCTGCTTACTGGTGAAAACACTAAGGCAGAGAGGTGGGTGATCTGGGCAGAGCTAGGATTTGAACTCAGACAGTCTGACTCCAGAGCCCTCCCTGTTACCCTATGAACTAGTCCTAGCCCTTGACGGAGGATTTACACACACCCAAGTCAGTAAATGGGGACGGCCCTCCTGCCCACCCCATCTCTCAGCCACTCAGACCCACAGCCTAATCTGGCTTCGGGCCTTTGACGTTGTTTACCTGTTAACCAGTACCACCTCCCCATGTGCTCTGATACCATTATAGCTACTCTGTGTCGCACCCAGCTAGAGACAACTTGGGGCAGCTCCACTTTATTCTCACGGAGGTGCCCGTCCGTCCTATGACCTCTGCCCCTCACCCCTTAATTTATGCTGTGGAGGATTGGTCATAGTGCCCCAAAGCCACCCCTGACTCACACCTCTACCCTGGGAAGCAACCTTGGCAGCACCCATGGTAGGGTTAGGAGGGGACTTCCAGGGTCTGAGCCCCCGAGGGAGTATGTGGATTTACAGAATCACCTGTGGTTACCACCCAGTACTGTGGTCTGGTCTTGGGTCTCAGGGTAGAGGGGAGATTTTCAGCCTTAAAGGCCACGATGCAAACACCAAGGAAAGCCTGCTCCCCAGCCCTCCGCACTTCGTTACCTGAAGCACTGGGAGGTGGTAGGGGCTCCATTTATTCATCTCACAACATTCACTGTGTCCCTACCGTACTGTTCTTGGTACTAAGAGTACATCGATGGCTAAGATAACAAGGCTTCTGCCCATGGGTGTTGTGTAGTGGAGGAAAGGAACACGAGAAACACACAGAAAAGACAACTTCAGTCAAAGTTAAGTGCTAGGAAGAAAACAACAAACCCAGCTTTTGGAATGTAGGGAGGCGGGTGGAGGGATGGGCCCATTTTTGGTTGTCACAGTAACTAGGGGTTACTCCAGCTTTCAGCCCCCAGAGGCCAAATGCCCTTAGAAACTCCCACCTCAAATGCCAGTGACACCCTATCGAGGAACCTGGGATCGGTGGAGGAGGGGCGAGGGGGGTAACTCCTTTAGTCAGTGTGGTCATTGAAGATGTGGCATGAGGCCTCAGTGGTGAGGAGGCAGCCAGGCAAAGATCAGGGACAAAGAGACAGCAAGGGCCCAAATAGGGGAGAGCTGGGCACATTTAGGGAGGAGGTCAGCGTGGCCATCTAAGAGGAGGGCAGAGAAGTGGAAGGGGCCAGGTGCATAGGGCTGGGGGTTGAACACCCAGAGTCACCCTACGGGGTTGTTGGGATGGACAGATGTGTTAAACCCCTTTCCCTCTCAAGTTCTTGGGCCTCGGGCCTCATTCGATGTGTCTCTGCCTGTCCCCCCTGCAGACCTGTACTGTACCCTGGAGGTGGATTCCTTTGGCTATTTTGTCAGCAAGGCCAAAACCAGGGTATTTCGGGATACGACAGAGCCCAAGTGGGATGAGGTGAGTGGACGGGCTGGTGTCCCTGCAGGGAACCCCCGAGCTTGTCACCGACCATGCCCAACCCACTCCTTGTGCTTGTGTCCTGTTGGCTGGGGATGGTTGGGCCAGCTCCGGCCCTCTAACCCCTCTGCCCTCCATCCCTGCTCATTTGGCTTTTGATTTCGTGTTTGTGTCCAGACACAGGGTTTCAGCTCAGGCCCCAGACTTTACTTCATCAGTGCTTCGGAGGCCTCTGAGCTCCAGAAAGTGAGGAAGCTCCTCTATGCCTTATGATGTGGTCCTCTCGGGTCTTTCTTACCCCCTGCTCACCCTTGCAAAGTTGGGGACTCCACCTTCCAAGAAGCCATGTCTCCAAGTTTCAGAGGTTCAAGACCCTCGTTCCTTCTTCCCCCAGGAGTTTGAGATTGAGCTGGAGGGCTCTCAGTCCCTCAGGATCCTGTGCTACGAGAAGTGCTATGACAAGACCAAAGTCAACAAGGACAACAACGAGATCGTGGACAAGATCATGGGCAAAGGGCAGATCCAGGTGAGGGTCCAGATGCATCCAGGGCACCAAGGCAAGGCTTGGAGAGCTGCCAGGAGGTGGTGCCAGTTGAGACGGTGTCCTTCTCGCTCGCCTTTTTGGTCAAGGTGCTTGGCCTTTTGTGACTCGGGTTCAAAACTGGTTTAAGAAACGTTCCCCAATGTGGCGCTCCTCCCCTGCTAGAGACGGCATCTTATTCTAGCCCTAGACGCCCATGCGTGCCTGGTTCCTTGGGCTTTCTCACCTGGCTGAGGTGGATCACTCACACTTCTGCAGGGCAGACTGAAGGGATGACTGCTACCTTTGTTTTCACATCCCTGCTCTAGTCTGCTGGTGGCTTTTTCCGGGAACACAATGTTGAGAAGGATTCATGGGATATATATCCATGAGTGCTATGTTTGATTAGCAATGTCTGCCATAGGAGCCATTAGGCTGGAGCATTTGGGCTGAGGATCTGGCCTGGTTGCTGGGGGCTGGTCTCTGACTTGTTGCTAGGGTTGCTGGGCCTTACTCACCTGTCCTTGGAGTTTATTGGCTTAGGGTGGGTTCTGTGGATATTGGTAGAGGCAGGTCCTGAGTCAGTTTAAGAGCATATATGCCTCAGCTATATTTATTCATACTCTGTTTATGTAGGGACAGGGTCCTTGTTTGCAGCCTCTCTGGAAATTCTCCCAGTTTTTAAAATGGCTGCTATTCACTTACCTATCAAGAAGATGTAGATGTGGGCAGGCATGAAGCCATCCACACTCCATCTGGCATCTTGTGTGGCCTCACGCTTATAACACAAGTGGTCTGGTGTGGGGGCAGATTCTGTGACCATGAAATCAAGGGTAACAGTGACTGGCATACACTGTGACTGAGCCATGGGCATTAGGTGCTCTGGGCTTATTAGCAGTTGCCCCAGATAGGATCTGGGTGCAGAGAGCTGAATGATGCTTTTTGCAGGAAGCGTTTGTTCTCTGATGCATTGTTAAGGCTGCAGAGTTTGGTGTCTGGCTCTTGCCTGGATATTCTTGATAGCGCTGCCTCTGTGGACCTATATGAGCATTCTGCTCTCCCTACCTGTCTCAGGCTCGTGTTTGAACGGGATGGCACCATTTGGTGGGGTCCCAGCTATCTGCCTCATGATTCCTCAAGTTCCTTAGCATATCTTTTCCTAATGCTGTGGGACGTGCACCCCATTTTTCAGCACTGTCTCCAGGGAGATGGTGTAGCCAGGCAACCACAAGCCAGTCCTTCATTATTTCATTTTAATTTTTGGCTTATAAATAACAGAAATTTATTTCTCATAGTTCTGGAGGCTGGCAGTCCAAGGTCAGGATGCCAGTATGATGAGGTTCTGGTAAGAACGCTCCTCCAGTTTGCAGACTGCCAACTTCTTGTATCTTTACTTCTGAAGGCGATCCTTCATTATTTTTTTCAATACTTAGGATATGGGGGCCGATGAGAGAGGGCTCTCTAAATTCAGTCCTGGAAACCAACTTCCCGCAGGAATAAGGAGTGGGAGGCCCAGCTCCACATTCCTGAGCTGGCCAGAGGGTCGGGCAGAGAAGTTCTGGGCTGGCCTGTATAGCCTCAGGAGATACTCAGCCAAGAGGCATGACCGGCTGCCATGCTCCTGGAACCATTGGTGGCTGTGGGGTGGAAGAGTTTAATAGAGTGTCCAGGGCAGCTAGCTCAGGGAACACCATGGACCCTGACCCCTCCAGTACCTGGATTCCAGGGCTCATGGTATCATTCCACCTGGACTTCTAGCCCGGTTGCTTCTTCCTTCTCACTTCTGTTAGCCACACAAGCCCCCGGGGAAACACACCATAAATCATTACATCTTGGAGACAGGAGCAGATGGAGGTGGTGGGGGAAGGGGAGGAAGCTAGGTTATGTTTGGCAAAGCTGAAAGCACAGTCTGGTAAGGAAAATGTTTCTGTGTTTAAGCTTCGAGGAATGTTAAATGCCTGGGAGTTGATATTAAAAGAAACACAAACCTTCCTGCTGCCAGCTGACCTGGGCCTGTGAGCGGCCAGATCAGAGCCAGCGTCCTCTAGAGGGCTTTGAAGTATCCGAGCCCTCAACTCCCCAAGGTGCAGCCTTCAGTCCTCAACCATGGAGCCGTCTTACTGGCCTTCCTATGGATTGGGGAGGGGGAGGAGGTGGGGGTGACCTTGCTGGTGCCATACCTTATACAGTCCCACTTACCCGGTGAGTGCCCTCGGAGACACCAAGGATGACCAGGCTAGGGGGAGAGCCTGCACTGAGCCGTTCCCACGAGACTGGGCCCCACAGAGCCACGGGACAGTCTGTTCTCACAGCTCGTGCCACCTCCCTTCCTGCCACGTGTCCAAGGAAGGGAATTGGCACCAGCCTCTGGCAGTCAGTTCTCCCCTTCAGCAGGCACCAAGGATGGAGTTAAGGTGGCCTGGCAGTAGGGAGTCCTTGGGGACATTCAGGTGGCCTGAAGGAAAGGCAGGGGCAAGTAGGCTCGCCCCTGTTGCCCTTCCCCCTTTCTAAGCCCCTTCTGGCTCAGCCCCTCCAGAAAACAGTGAGGGACCCCATTTCCTAAGCTGTGGGCATTTGCTTCAATATGAATCTTCTTCTTTGGGTTGGCTTGATGTGGCAGTGGGGACAGGGAATCTGGTGCACCAGGCTGGGGCGGAGGGGGGGTGGGGGGATGGCACAGCATTTAGTGACACACAAATGGCAGTACTAATTACAGACAGGTATGTTCAGCTCATGTGCTCTTGGAGACCCTGTTTTATCTCCTGACCCTCGCAACAGCTCTGCAAGGAAAATAACAACCATATCCTCCCCATTTTACAGATAAAGACACTGAGGCCCAGGCGCCTCTGCTGAGAGTGCGTAGGGAAGGCTGTGTTCTCTCCTCTGGGCTATGTCCCTGTGTCCCAGCCTGGATGAGGAGCACTGGCATGGCTAGTGGCCTGGAGGAGGAGCTGGGACGAGGTTCCATCCCAGCATCCTGCTTTATGGCATAAGGTGAGCCTCAGGCTTCCTCTGCCTGGAGTCCTCTTCTGGGCAGGGGACATTTCTGCCTAGTGCAGCTGGAGGGACGCATGCATAGAAAAGAGCCAGCAGAGGGGGACTTACTGTGCTTCTGCAGTGTCCCAGGCTGGCTGCTCCAAGGGGCATAGGGGCCTGGCCTCAAGAAATCCACTGCCAGATTAGAAGACAAGTTTATCAATGTATGCCAAGCTACCAGAGAACAAAGCAAGATGGCAGTAACGATGATGATGATTACATCAGAGAGCTGACTGTGAGCCCGGCACTAGGCTGATGCTCACAGCATTATCTCAGGAGATCTTCAGAGTACTCCATGGGATAGGAAAGTTACCACAGTTTTGAAGATCAGAAAGCTGAGGCATAAAGGATTAAGTAACCTGTCCAAGACCAGGCAGCCGGTGGGCAGGACAGCCAGGGCTGGAAGCAGGCTGGAACCAGACCCCACGCCTTGCCCTCTCTAGGTGCTTTTCTGTCTCCCACTGTCCCACAGTAAGATGGAAACTCGTGCTGCAGGAATTCAAAGAAGGAAAGAGCTTTGTGGGCTGAGTTTAGGGAGGCTTCCAATAGGAGGTGGAGCGACAGGGATTCGAGAGTACTGGGTTTTTTAAATTCCAAAGGCAATGTTTATATTAGAGAGAAAGTTACAATAATAGTAGAGACTTGAAACATAATCACCAACCATCCCTGCTCCCACTCCCTGAAACAGCCATTTTATCTTGTGCCTTTTCCCTTCCTCGGGTACACAAATTTTTATATAGTTTTAATCACAGTGTGTACTTTTTCTATTTTCATGTGGTATTACCATAAGCTCCCTTTTTTCTAGGGCTGTATGTAGTCTTTATAATTACTCCTTTTGGTTACATTGTCAAAAATACTTCATATACTTTCTAAAAGTCATTTTCTATAATGGCCAGCACGTGAATTGCCATTTCGAGGCTCTGTGTTATTCTAGCAAGGTGGCATGCTCTGGATCAGCAGAAAGGAGTGGGTGGGCATTCGGGGGAGGGCTGCATGGCCAAGAGCACAGAGGCAGGAATGTGCAGGGAGTGTCCAGGAAATAAGGAACCCGCCTGCCCTGAGCTGGAGGGGTTGTAAGCAAGAAACTAAGAGGGAGAGTGAAAGAATGAATAAAAGAAGAGGACTTGTAGGGGTTTAGGCCAGAAAGACTCCTACAGGGCATTTAATTCAATCTTGTTTTAGGGGGCGGAGAAGAAAACCGAGCAGAAAGGGTGAATGACATGGCCACAGTCACACAGCTTATTCATTAGTGGTTGAGCAAGGGCTCCAAATTCAGGGACCTAATCCCAGGCTGGTCATGCTTGGTCAGCTGCTGGGCAGATGAATGAATAAAATGCTCATAGATGGGGCGGGGGCAGACTTGGGTGTTAGTCCGTGACTCTTAGAGGTGTGTTCTTTGTTGGTGCAAATTTAGTGGAAGATTTCACCAGCTCGGTGCATTTCTCCTCTTCCAGGCTCAGGAGTCCTCCCTTTCTTTCTCAGACCCAAGGGGCCAGTACCTTCAGACTCTCTATCCAGGCCACCCCTGCCGCTTGCCTCCTCCTTGCTGCCCCTCCCCTGCCTGGCCCAAGAACAGCTCAACCAGGAGACTCCCTCTCTTTCTGCCTTGGCTCCTTGGCCCCAGGGGACTCCTGTGTGTTTATCCCAGTCTATTTCCAACCGCTGCTGCTACAGGCTCCAGATGTGCTATCCCCATCTGGGACCTACCCTCTGGCTGATTAGCATATTCCCAGGGTCTAGGCCTTGTTGGCTGGCCGGGCCAGAGGGGAGAGCTCTCCCTGAGGACCCCACAGCTCAGTTCCTGCCACTGACTCCGGACTATAAAGGGTCCCGAGACCTAGGAGCTACCTAAGCCAGAAGAGCCCCTCCAGCCCCCTGCCCCCCACCATTCCCCAGCTCAGCCGCAAGCTTGGAGACGGCCCCCTACCCTCAGTTCTGTTCCCCCGGGTGGAAGGCAGCTTTACATTCCT